CGAAACCACATGCAAACCCCTTTGAAGCCTCAATGCATACACTAGATGTTCGCGGAGCCTTGTCATTCTATTTGGATAGAACAAAACCCTTTAGAAACTCCTCTAGACTTTTTGTTTCTGTTGCAGAGCGCTCCAAGGGCATGCCTATTTCTACCCAGAGACTCTCGAACTGGATCTCCCAGTGCATCCGACTGTGCTATCAGATGAAAGGGGTTGCACCTCCAGATGGCATTAGAACACACTCCACTAGATCTCTGGCTGCCTCCATCGCGTTCTTACGCAAAGTCCCCTTGGCTGACATTTGTAAAGCAGCCACTTGGTCATCTGACCATACTTTTGCTAAACACTATGCCCTTATTCAAGGCCCTTTATCTGACATACGCTTGGGCAGGGCGGTACTCTCGACGGCGTTCCTACCAGATCCGAAGTCCCTACCTCCTTAGGATACACTGCTTTTAAGTCACCTGTAGTGGAGCACCCACAGGGACATCTCTCGAAGAAGAATGGATGGATATTTTCAGCAGGATGGTTTTCTTGCGTATACAGCAGTGTGTGTGGAGCTAACATTTAATTATACCTCTGGAGTAAAAACATCTGAAAATAGCCCAAAACTGTAATTAGAATCCAGGTAGAGGAGAGTGTTTCCAGGGATAATAACCCATTACAAGTAAAAGGAGGTATATGAGGTCTACGCCCAAGAATATTTTTTTCCAAACAAAATTTGAGAAAAATCCATCTGGCCATTTCTAAGTTACAAAACTTCTTTAAAATCTGTGCAGCTAAAATATCTTTCTCTGTTGTTGTTATTATTATTAATTTCATTTATATTCCAGTAGCACCTAAAGGTCCCAGTCAGGATTGGGATCCAGTGCTCTCTAGGCAAAATCACAATACATAGTCCTGTTCCATAAAGCTTACAATATAAGGGCTCCATTGCACTTGGATCCTTACACCTGTGCAAAAACGATTGAAGTCACTGAGGGTACTACAGGGCAAAAAGTTCTGTCTAGATGGTTCCAACTGCAGGATCTGGGGCTTTAGAAATCTTTTCAGAGGTATAATTCAAAAATAGCATGTCATTTTAAAAGAATTGTGTGGGCACCAGTTCTGGTTTAAGGTTTATTAATTTTTTTTCCATTACAACTGTTGAGTCACTTTAATTAAAAACAAAAACAAACCCTTATGCTAGTGGGGAAACTTTTGATCAAAAGAAATTGTATAGAGTTTTTTCCATATATATCCTTACTACATACTGCAGTCACAGTCTATCAGGTCCCTAAATTATGAAAGCTTTATACAAACAGAACACAGCCCGAAAGGCGCCATTTATGGTCTGTCTGGTGGATGATATTTACTGTCTTTCTAAAATTAGTTATTTTTCTAAAATGTGCATTCATCTAAGATAGCCCATACCAACTCCTATGGTAAATATGCATGTCAGCACTTTCCATAAAAAAAGGTGTCCTAAAAAATAAATGTTGATAGAGAAAACTTATTGGTAAGCAATGCTAAAGTGATGACCAATCAACAGAACCCAGCACATTCTCATTTAAGACTGAAACTTCTTAATTAATGTGGCTAATTATGCCTAGACCCAGGATGGAGAGGAGATTATTTTAGATACAATCAGTGCTCCAGTACTCCTGAAGAAACATGGAGCTCCATGTGGTATGTTGCAGATAATGCCATGGGATAATGCCAAGTATGTACACAAACTGACTATGGTGCAACATAAACAAAATAAACTAAATGTAACAAGTCACATATTGGGGCTAATCAATGTCCTGTTCTATCCATAGGAATGATGCCCCTAAATGTAAATGCTCTTTAGACAGGGTGGCCTGCTCCGTAATTGTCCATTTTAAAATCTTAAACTTCTGCAGTTTGTAACCTGATGGGTAAATTCAAGGAGCTACGAGAAAGCTCATAACACCTCCATTCGGGTCAAATTTAATGCAAAAGGAATGAGTGCTGGGAGGCTTGCTCCTGCTGCTCCCAGTGAAATCAATGAGAGTTTGGCCACTGATTTTAGTGGGAGCAGAATCAGACCTTAGGAAATGAACGCTGAGAAGGGGAGGAGCATTTACAGTTCTAGAAGTCCTTGTGTTAGCCGTAAAAGAGTTAAAGAAATTAGATCCAGCATTTCCCCTGAAATAGAAAATCAGCATCAGGTTTAGCTGCTGTACAATATGCTGTTGGCACTGATTCCCAGTCTACAATGCAAGCTCTTCTTTTCCAGCAGTATTTACTATACTTGGTTTCTAATGTCTCTTTCTTCACAGATTTTGCAATGCAATGAGATCTCTCATCAAAGGTACCATTTTACTTTAATGTTATTAAATTCCTACTACTGGTCAGCTTTCCTTTTCTGGCCTTTTAGGATATGAATTTTTAATGTGTTTTAATTCTGGAAGTGCTCTACCATGCAGCTAAGAATGTGTTATTTTTAACAATTAGGAAAAGCTTCCCAGGGACTATCATACTGTATTGCTGCAGGGCCAAATTCAAGTCAACTGCGTTTAATTGGAAACATTCAGTTAGGG